CCCTCAACCAGGGCAGTGCTACTGACTGAACTTGTCTTAAGGCCATTCCCTAAGGGGGATATTAACATGTTCTAATGCACAGTAGAAGTGTATAATATATGGGCTGATTTATCAATGTCATCCTCTTACTGTCTTACTGTGCCGGAACACGATATAAAGAACTGCTGTTTTTCTTCCCTCATCCTTACTATTGCCATTTTTCCTCTACTTTTTATATGTTTGTCACGCTCTTGTGAACTGCTATTTCCGGGGTGCCTTGGTAGTTGAAGAGGACTTTGTGCTGTTGAGGCTAGAGAGTTGAGCAGAGTAGGCCTGATTCCCTGTTTGGACTTCTCTGTTGACATCCACCTCTAGGCGCTCATATGACTTTATGCAGTTGCGATGGCCGTAAGACCTTACTAAAACGTAAAACGTCACTCAAATTACTCACAATGACGAGTGCAGTGGTGAAGTATGGTCGGTAATCCGGTGTCCTGGGCACCACAGAACGTACGTCCTCGTCATTGCTGTCTTCCTGGCTGTCTGGAGACTTGAGCTCGGATTTGAACTTCTTCCACCGGCTGCGGTTCACCTCAGTGGGGTTGCTATAATAGTCTGTGGGATTTTTATTCAAATTCAGAATGGTTGTGATATCGACTGTGACCTATTGCGTCTTGACAGTTGACAGACGATCATAAAGCAGTATGCATGATACTGCTTTGCATAGATGGCAGACATAGAGAGAAAGTAGACTGATTGTCCGCACACGATTGGCAAAATAATTTGTACTAGTACAAGGTAGGGCCTAATGACGGTCTCCAATAGCACGATGCAAGCTCACCAGAAAAGCACGAGCACAGAAGCAAACCCGAGTCGCACATACTTTGTCAAGTCAGTGCTCTCCCGGCTGAGACGACGACTGCCCGTTTGTACAAAAACCCTAGCCAAAAAAGTAGCGCAGTTGTAACACTCTGGGGGTAGACAGCTCGCTATAATTGTTGATATTTTGGTCCAGTCACAACAAGGTCCGAATATTGAAAGTTCGACCCCTGTAAATTGCAATAGGCTTTTCAGACTCTAGCTTAGACCTGTCTTTAAGTGACGTTTAGAAGTTACATATAGATCTAGTTCAGCTTCGACCCAAACGATCCATGTTGGCAAGGCAGTGTTGGATAAAAGTAAGCGCTCGTTCCATTACTTCTAGACCTCAGTTTATGCAGATTGTGAATTTGCGGATAACTATATTCATGTCGTGGCCAGAAAGTACTAGTACAAGGTAGGGCCTAATGACGGTCTCCAATAACACGATGCAAGCTCACCAGAAAAGCACGAGCAGTGAAATTTTACTTTTATCTACCTCTTGGCGCTCATCTATCTATCTATCTATCTATCTATCTATCTATCTATCTATCTATCTATCTATCTATCTATCTATCTATCTATCTATCTATCTATCTATC